AAAAAAAAAAAAAGGGGGAGGGGGCAGAGTGGGATGAGAAAGGGCGGAGGGGGCCGCGACCGAGGGTGTACGCGTCACGGTCGGAGCGGGCCAATCGGCCCCGGCCAGCTTGCTAGCCGGCGACCAATCGGGAAGCTCCAGCGCGGGGAAACGGGCCAATGGCGGAGCTCCACGCGAGGCTGCGGGAAGGTATATAAGCGCGGAGGGGCGCCCGGGCCTGCGTACTCGATCGGAGCAGCACGAGTTTTGGGGAGCCGGTAGCGGGCAGCCCATCGCGGCGAGAACGGTGAGGCCTGGCGGGAGGGGAGAGGAGCGGGATGGGGCGGCCCGCCCGGTCTCTTGGGCCCACGTGGACGCCCTCCCCGGCGTACAGCGCCTGGCACTCGCCTCCCTGCCTCGATTTCCCTGGGGGGGATGGGGAGAGGGGGCCTGGCGCACCCCAAAGGCGCGAATGGGGCCGTAGGAGAATGGGCCTGCGTGTCCCGTGGGGGGCTGTAGGAAGTTGGGGTGGACAGAGGGGGTCCCCTGCTTTTAATTCGCGTTCAATTGCCGTTATCTCCCCCAAGCGAAACCTAGGACTGTAGGTCCCATCATCCGCAGCTTGCAGGGTCATGGGAGGCTGCGAGGCCCCTGGTCCCCCAGCCAAGGTTGGGGGGCTGAGGATCAGCAGGATAGGGGGAGTGGGGGGCTTCTCGGGTGGGGAGGAAGGGGGTATTTTTTTTTAATGTCATTTCGGGCTCCTGGATCTAGAGCGGTTGATGCACGATTTTGTAGAAACAGTTGGGAGGATTTTATTCCTCTTCCCAGCGCCACAGCAGCTCTTCCTCCCCACCTTCAGCGTGACACCGTCTTTTCCCCCAAAGGGAGGGGGTCCTTTAAAAAAAAAAAGTTGCATTTGCATTTTGCAGAACCTTTATAAAGAGGAAATGGTAGGTTTCCTCCCTTCTGCTCAGTTGTCTTTTTCTGGGGTTAATGCATTGTGGTGTCAGCCGCAGAAAGCTAGATAGATTGTATGTGGGAAGGGCATCTCAATTAAAAAAAAAAAAAAAAAGGACCTGAATCCAGGTCTCCTCATCCTGATGCCACTTTTGGGTGCCTGGGATCCATCTGTTCACAACGCCGGGCACTGGAGCGGCTTGCCTTTCTCTGAAGCTGGTGGCTGGACCACAGCAGGCCCAGAGGATGGTTGCTTTGCATTTTCAGGGTGTATCTAAAGATCCCTGATAGTCCTCCCACCACCGCACAGCAGCTGTATGTAGAGATGGCCTGCATTTGATGCAGCTGCTTCTAGAATAGTTGATTGCAAGTACGGTTCTCTAAGCTTGAAAGCACTGAAGGGCAGGCGGTATTGATTTGTGGTGGCTTCAGTCTCTGCTGCAGTGGAAGTGGCTAAGGAAATACAACTGCGAGGTTTTTCTTCTTGCCACTTCCCTTCTCCTTCCACACTTCAGTGAGTGATTATGCAAAACCTTCTGGTGATTTAACCTTTTTGGTCTTAACGCTCGACATTTGGCCTTTCTTCCCACAGTTTTTTTTTTC